AGTGCGATTTTATCGGTGGTCAGTATACTGATACTGCACATCCCTACGCCGACACATGTGTACACTAATGTTGACACTAGCACAAAGCCATGTGCAAATGCCCGATGCTACCTTTTGCAAAATGTCTGCAGTAATAAACAACTGCTGATGCAGTGAAACATTCAGTCGAGGGTTAAGCGAGTCACACAGACGAGCGTTACTTGTATCATAATTATTATTATCGGTTGATTACGTCACCTATTCAAATATTCAGTAGTAAAATCTTGATAAAGTAGTGTTATATCGACTTCTGCGGATTCAACTTTTAATGCAAAGGAAAATTGATGTTTCATCACGTCAAGGAAAGTGTTGTTAATGGATGCTCAAGTCATGTTCATACAGACGAACATGATGTATATTTGTGTAGAGATAAATGCGATCATTATCATGAATCAAATTTAGATTTAATCCGAACGATATGTCTTCCTCAAACAATGAAGAAATGCGTTTTAAATGAATTAACAACTATTGGTATTATATATGAAGAAGAAATGGCAAAACCAGCACTTAGTGCTGCTGGTGTTGTTACATTTCCTATCAAATCAAGAAGTCTGTGACTGATTATAGAAAAAGGCATTAGTGAATTTTTTAAAATTTTACATTTAGATCAAACTTTCGGTAAAGTTCATTGAAAAATTCTCTCTACTCTTCCTCAATCATGTTTATTTACTATTCTGGACCGTTATAAACTGACTAATGATGGTAAACATTTTTTATTATTGTACGAGTCACGTGTGAGGATGTGAGTATGGGTGTGGGTTGGTGTGGGCTTGAGTGTCCGCTTCGATGAAGAGAAAACTCACAGTTACACACACCCACACCCACACCCTCTTACAATAATGCCACAAGAAACTGTCTTGTGTACATTTGAAGAAGTTCGTAAAGTTGCTTAAATTTTACGAAACTCGTCAATAGAATCATAATTAAGTTGCTTTGAAAAAAATTGGTTATCAAATCTTGATATGTGGAATGCATATACAGCTGACTCAAGAACGAATAATATGTGTGAGGTTTATCTTCAAATAGACTTTGTTTCAATGACTACTGTTGTCTTTTGTTATTCAAGTTTATCACAGCAGAATAAACTACCTCATTCTTTGCAACCATCCTAGTATTTGCCAGATTATAAAATTCATGCAAACAGAAGAAAAAATACTTCAACTAGTTATCATCCAGTGGTCTACTGATGCATTAGAATAACAAAATCTCCGACTCTACTTTCATACAAAATCGCATCAATACTCTTTATACTCAATATAATAGTGGTGTCATGAGCTCGCTAGATCTATTTTCTGGCTTGTCATTAGTTGTTGGAACACAAAAGAAATAGATAGGACATACATTTATGACTAAATTTTAATTGTTCATTCTAGTTAATTTCATTTTTTAAACACATTTTCATTGCAAATTTTTTAACAAATAAAATTTTTATTAAATGGAGGTAACATATTGAATTTTTTCTCATAGGTAGATCTATAACTAATATTGTTTCAATACTTGAATCAGTCGACATTTTTATTTTCGACCAAAGTAGTATTTACCAATTGGAATACTTGTTATGCAAAAAATATGTTTTTTGTAAAAAAAGAAAATCTGGTTTAGCTCTCCTTTTTCTTGAAGTTTAACGTCGACCGCTAGAAAAGAATTACTCTACGTTGCTATATTTAGTAGTCTGCATATCTTTATACACCTATCTTTTGATGAGTATTGTGTTCCATTAAAAAACTCCCCTGAAGTAGATAGAGTTCTCACCTGATGTATCCATCGCCGAAAAAGTGAGAGGTACAACACCAGTTGCGTCTATTGCAAATTGTCCTGTGACATTCGGATCATATGTGGTTACGACCAAATAGTATGTTGTTCCTTTGTCAAGCCAACTGTGCAAAGGGAATTGCTGGTAGCCGGCGCTGTCATTATCGATTGATATCAAATTTTGAGACGGAGCGAGATAAACGAAACTGTTCTTATACAAATAGCCAATGGTATTCATGTTGCTCTTCGATTCAAAAGAATAGCTCCCAGCAATAGAGACGTTTAAACGAAGAGCTTGATAGTAGTAGGCAGATGCTGAACAGTCACCTATGCGACAAAACTGTTCACTGCCGGTGGTTAGCTCAGATGAATATTTTGAAGTGACCAACCTCGTAGTGTCTAATCAAAGAAGAATAAGAAAATTACACTCTTGATTCAGTCTTGTAGTAGCAATTTAAGGTAACACAGCGGAAATATAAAAGGCGATAAACATAGAAATTTTTGTAAATAAAGAAGGACCTAAAAATATTCAGGCTTATAAGCACCTTCATGAATAATGTGAATAACTGTATTCTTCCTAGTTTCTTCCCAGTGTACAAAGACCGGGAAATTCAGTATCGTCGTTTTGAGAATAGTATATCTATTAGACGTATCATTTTTGATTTATGTAAGATTTGAGCGGCTAATTAAATTATTCGTTATAGGATCCTAGAAATTGAATAAAACCTGATATGAAGTTCCTGTTCTACCACCATGAATAAGTGTGCCACTTTAGCTGTATTAAGACTCCTTAGTAATTTAATGGTTTCGAATAAAAGTTTAAACTCACTATCTCTAACGAAACATAATTGGTAGAATTTGTCTTTAAATTGCTTTATAATAATGTACGAATAGATGTGTCTGAGACGAAGTCAGACATGAAACAATTAGTGTTTCCTATTATTGCATCGCCACACTTTTCTTAGGATATTTCTATGAGAAAGTTAATCGGAGAAAACGAACGAAGGCGATATGTTGTAACTGAATACATGTATGCCTTGTTTTGTTTGTTCCCATTTAGGAGTACTAGTTGGAAAAAGCATATAGTCTCTTTAGCGAACGGGTATCAACAAGGTTAGGTGTCTGGGAATACATGTTTCACATATTTCATGATAATAATAAAAAACTGTTTCACACGAATTGTGTTCAGTCCTTACGATTCGCTAATGCAAATTTTAACTATGTCTTCAGCTAGCTCTCATAAAACTGCAAAATGATACGTCTCCTTAGAGGTAGCATTTTTACATAGAAGAGATTTGATTCCATGATATTCCTAAAGTTAAAAGAGAGCTTATAAGACATTATCATAGATAATGCTTATGAACATTCTTATGAGATAGAATACTTCAAAACGTATCAGGAAATATACTCAAAAATGTTCCTTCATAACAGTGTAGGTAGTTGCATAGACATAAGGATACAAGAACAAAGCAATAAGTGTAAGAATATGCAAGTGAGAGGATAGATATAAGGGCATATGCGTGATGACCACAAATACATATAAATAAGCATATTTTTGTGTAAATATACAAGGATAAGGATAAGAGTATGATAAATCGCTGGAAGCAGATTTCGACACCAAAATAATGAGATTCTTTTGCCATAGGCAATATAAACCAGGAACAAGACGAAAAAAGTCATTCATACATTTTCATCCGTATTTGTATAACAGTAGACTGATGTGATTAACCTGACTTGGAAAAAAATCAAATACTGCTGAAGAAGCTAAATTGTACCAGTTAACTGACATTGTTTCATATCTGATTACAATTCAAATTAAAATCAAAGCCTGTTACAAAGTAAAAAACAAGACCATCGATGAAAAGTTTTAAATCTTTGTTGCCTACCTTAAGCATCAAGGAAAGATAACTTTGATGACATAATTTTATATCAAATTCAATGTTCCAATGCTATTCAGAAGGTAAATCTATAAACCAGAAAAATTCTACTTTTCTAGGAGCTACTATTTCCTAGGGCGATAGAAATACGTTAGAATCTTTCAACCACAGTTTGTTCACCTATTTTTTTTCTTGTTGCGCTACAACACATAATTTTATGTGAAGAAAAACAGCTTCTCATTTTAATTGAAAAGATTTCATCAGATGTTTCTAAGTTGATCTAACGAACCGGTTCTATCTAGTGGAATCTTCAGAATCCCTGCTAAGACCTACTAATTCTAGGATAAGATGACTGTGAGTATCAGAACAATACTTTAAGATTTATCTAGGGATCTAAAAGTATCATAAAAGAATAGTAATCATTATATAAATTCCTTAAGTTGGTTGATGAATGGTTTTTGAATTAAAAGTTGCTTTACCTATGAAATGCCTCTTTATTAAATTAGCTTAAAATCTACATCATAATACCGTAGTGAAACGCTAGTGTCCATTCAATCAAAATACCTGGTTAACGTTTAAAAATGCTGTAATCCATCAAAAATGAAAAAAAACTAGAGAATTGCACCCTCTTCGTTTTCTTTGGGCTGCGTATAATTAGAAGATTTTTGCTTTTAGGACATAAATTTCATTTATTTAAAATTTTGCATTACATTCTTTAAACAATTGGTTACTAGCATTAGTTGTTGCTATGCCTTAAACTAATAAAAAGTCAGCGCTGTAACTATCTACAATACTGGCCATTCGTATTTAATATAGTGACAGTTTCTCTAGCAATAATTTTAGTACCATGCAGCCTAAGACAAACTATGTTACATATGTCGTATTTTGTGGTGCAATGTACGACATTAAAGTACAGTACGAAATGCGCCTAACGGTACATTCTAACAATATGATTAAAATCTAGTAGTCAGCACATGTTCGATTTTTCTCTATCGAGTCAAATAATGACATATTTTTTCAATTTATTTCGAGTTAGTTATATTCATTCTTAAATTTAAAAGTAGACTAGTCTTGAGATCTATCTGTCTTGGTCAGGCTACTTCAAGACAGCCTTCTCTTGATTATCGATAGATCTCTCGTCATGTTTTCGATTAATAACTAGTTGAAAAATTATCGAGGAAAAAAAAGACATAAGAAAATGAATAAGTTTAGCATGTTCGATTGGCTTCACCACATGTAGTTGTATGTGCAAACAAAATGGTGAATAAATAGTCAGCAGACAGACTACAGCACAATGTAGTTGTGGCACATGTTCCTGGTACTCTGCGACATTATAACTAATAGTGACGCATAAGTATGACATATTTTACTCGAGTGTGAAAAAAAACTTATAAACATAGATAATGAAAGAAAAGCTTTCAGGGCAATTTCTACAACATCAAAATATAAAATATGATGGAGCTAATTTAGCTATCTTAGGAAATCCGCGGATGAAAAAGCGAAAAATCCGTACTTCAATGGTATGCCAAAGCTATTCTCTAGAGCTTCAAAGCCGGTTCAAATCTAGTATCAACGTATGTTACAAGCATATTAGTTTGAGTTGATTTTATATAAATTTCCCTGACACTTAAGTCCAAATACTTGATTGTACTGCAAAATTTGAGTATCACTCAAATTCGATGAATTATTTGAGCATTACCGCTTCACATGTTTGTAGGAAATGAGCTCAAACTAATATGCATGTAATACCTATTGATACGAGACTTGACGCAGCTAAAGAGCTATGAAAGACACTTTTGGCATGCTCTTGACGTATGCTGAAGTACGGTGACGCATAAAATTTGCGGCTTTTCTCCATCAGAGAAATCTCATCCATTTTAGATCCAAGTATTGTTTGACTTTTTTTGTAGAGTTATGACACGTAAGCTTGTGTTCTACTTGCGCCACCGTCTCAAACATTCTCGAAGCACCTTTTATATGCAGATAATATTTGTTAAGGCTAA